CAAAAGGGTCTTGATGGAGAACGGCACATCGTCCAAGTGATCATACTGGGTTGGTTTTATGGGTGTTGCAATTGCAGGTCTCTATTGCTCTGGCACTGGGTCCTCAACTCCGGCTCTCACCTGAGATGACGAGCCAAAACGGGCATTCTTTGAAGGCCCATGCATCGAAGGGTCCAGTGTAGTGGCCTGGCAAAAAGCTCCACTTCGCAAAACTTGCAAGGTGTCCCACTCCGGGTCTGTACGAATGAGCAGTCCCATCATGAATTCGAGGTCAGCTTCCTCAGCATGGTCTTGTCAGTTGATCGGCTCAACTAACTTATGCCACCTGTCCGCAAATGTCTAGGTCGTCTCCTTGGTATGCGCACAGACCGCCTCCGCGTCAATCCGGCCATAGTCTGCAACCCGCACTTCACCCCTCTCCGGTTGGCCGCCACAGCCAGCAACCTTGACCCCGTCGATGTACACCGATCCTTTCTTTGTAATCAGCTCGCACCTGATCCGGGGAGAGCTTTCCTCCACTCTGTTCAGCTCCTTCTAGGATACACCTCTTACGTCGCCGCACCTCCGGCGGTTGTGCAAAACGAGATGGAACAGCCTGCGCAGGCTGCGGGGCTCGCCCTGACTCCTCTATTTTTTAGGGGGGAGTGCGGCCTATAGAAGAAGAACAAGAAAGAGAGAGCGAGAGAGAGAGAGAGAGAGAAAACATCATCAGGCGCTTGGAAGCCCTGGAGCAAACAGGCTCGCCGGTGCAAAGCGCCTGGAAACTACAGGGCCCAGGCGGAGAAGAAGGGGACCGTGGACCAGCAGTAGTACTTGGCGGATGGAAATCGGACACAGACGCGGATAGCGTGCTACAGAAGGCGAAGCAGTTCATTGAGGCCCATCAGATACGCATACCGACAGAAGAGGCTTTCACCCCGGGAAAACAACGTGGATTCGTGGTGGTGCCGATCCGATGCCTACCTGGAGAATCACAGCAGATCATGACCAGACGAGCCATCGCCGCTGTGGAGTGGAGCAGTAAAGGGCGCTGCATGCAGTCCCGAGACCAAGACAGTGCAGGGAAGATGATGGAAGTCTGGATGGCCTTGTCACAATCCGGAGCATGTTGGAGGCGACAATTTCGTTCTCCAGGCTTGGGTTTGCAAACCCTACATGAGCCGCACGGAGGATTGACTCCCTTTCCCTGATACATCGTTCCAAATCCTGGACTTCCTGAAATAAGGGCGCTACAAACATGTTGTACGTAGATCTTTTCATCAAAGCCTAAACTGCTATATAAGCCCTGCGTAACCCCACTGTGGTTGCGAAGGGAAGTGGACAGGTTTAGCAGAGAAGACCATGAATTGCCTGAAAAGCAAAAAAATTGTTTGTAAGCCATTTGGCGCGAAAAGTCGGAAAAGCCGGAAAAAACACGAAAAGTCTCAAAAGCTCGAAAAGTTCCAAAGAGTGCCAAAAAGCCCGAAAAGGCCAAGCGTCCCCTAAAAAATAGAAAAAAGTCGAAAACTCCGGAAAAGTCCCAAAAAGCCAAAAATGTTTCCGAAAAGTTGAAGCCCGAGAAAGTCGAAAAGTTCTCAGGGCCACCATGCCCACAGTATGTAGCAGTATGGTTCTTGAAAAATAGGAGCCAAGGCGTTAGCTTCTAGCTTTTTGATTGTGCTTTGCGGCTGGACATGGGCTTGTGCCGAGAGCGCTGGACAAAATCATGCGGAGCCTTAGGGAAGTCTCAAGCAATTCCTTTTTTGACTTCCTGAGTGCTCACGTGCTGGGGTGAGCGTCGCCGATCTGTAGTGTTACAACCTGAACCTTAAAGCAACTCAGGACCCAGAGAGATACACAAGATCCCAGCATGTCTCAGGAAATCCTGCGCAGTTTCAAGCCAGAATCTCCAGGAAGTACTTTTTCCGTTCCCTGCTGGGTATGTCCAAAGTCAGGTTCTCCCTAGATGACCCCAGAAGCATGTAACGAGCATTCCAAGGAGCGATTGCATTCGTGTTGATTTTTTGCAGTGTTAGAGATGGTTGTCACATCTATCTTTCTCTTCTGCAGAGGCAGAACAGAGAGCTGACTTCACAATACTTGACGATGCTATGTTTCGGCATAATGAGATATTTTGTTCCATGTCCGCAGCGTGTTCTTTGACACGCCGCCCCCGTCCAAGAAAAGATTCTAATTGCACCTGTAGCAACTACTGCACTGGCTGCTTCTGCTTCCGTTGCTGCAGGATGGTTGTATTCTCTGGCTATGCAAATTGCAAGGTATAGGGTATTTGAGCTTAGCAGGCTTGATGTTGGATTCAGCATGATTCAGAGCGGCGGCTGCGGCAGCGGCTGCGGTTGCGGCCTCTGCTGCTGCTGCTATTGTTCTTATTATTGTTGCTAAAAATTATCATTACGGCTTCCGGTTCTCCGAATTGCTGCACAGAGCAAATGAGGCTCAAACAAGGAGGAGGAGAGTCAGCACCTCATCAGAGATGCCTCCACCCTGGGCACGTCTCACTGCATGGCACCACGATCACACGATCACATCCGGAGTCGTGGACGGAGTGTGAGTACCACAAGCCAATGCCGGAGAACTCGGCAATGCTCAAGCAAGTGACAGACCTGAGGCAACTCAGCACAAAAAGCTGCCTAAGCATGAAGCGGGGCGCTAATTCCCTTTGAAACGGGTCAAAACTCTGCTGCCTCGCATCTGGCGTGCTGAGTTGGCACAGTGAGCACACCAGAACTTCGTGAAGCTGCATCTGGGCGCCACGCGCCAAAAAGCTGGTAAAGAACATGTAGTTCCTCGCATGCTTGGCAGGAGAGCCGCCTTACCACCTCTTCCAAGCAACATGTGACGGGTGCCGCGTCCTTTGCCCGATGCAGTTGTTCACGAAAGGGCAATGGTGATCAAACCTCCACAGCGGTGAACCCTCTTCTCGGCGCAGCCATCTCTGCCAATTGCTCACAAGACCACATCACAAAATCTGCAAGCTGCCTTAGGACACAATTGTCGCAGTCGCGACAGTGCGAAGCCCTTGGCGGTCTGATGATACGACAGGTTTGGCAGAACCTGCGAGCCACCCACTTCTGAGAAGAATCTGCGCATGCCGTGTGAGGTTAGTCTGGTATGCAACGGAAGACTACGCAAAAATGCAAAACATGGAAGCTGGCTTTTGGGCTGACAAAGATTGATCCTACTGTTTCATCGAACGTCCTTACGGGACGGATTGCGCTTGTGGCGGTCGTAGGTTACAGCAGATCACTGAAACCACAGTTCGGTGGTCTCACCTGTTGGTGCTGCGTAGATGCCCGTCTAAGAGTTCCACTATCTCCATGCTCCCTCGGAGATTTCCAGATTCCGCTTGACAGTCAGCAAAGACGGGCGGCCATGCGTGAAACATTCAAGATCTCATGAGCCGTGAGACTATGAGACATCCACGCTGCATGCAAAGCCCATGTGGCAGCACCTGCCACGTGGGCATAAACGCATGGACACACTTGAAAAGCAAACAAGCGGCTGAGTGCATCTTTCCAGCAATGTCAACCCAAATACTCATGGGACGGATTTACAAAAAGTTGAGGTTTCAGTTTCAGTGCTGTAGGGGTGCACTCAAGACTTTGTAGACTTGCAGTTGCAACAGCTGTTTAGCGTGCATTCAAAACGCAAGTCAGAGGTCAAGATCTCTACGCGCTTTGCGCGATGCTTCGACGTAACGTAGCCGGTCCAGAACCCTGAGCTTTGAGGGAAAGCTGGGCAGCTTCCAGATTCAACGGCTTCGCACCATGGGATCCACTTCGGATCCTGTCAAAAACCCGCCGGGTCCCTCCCTTTTCTTGATTGGATGCTGCCATTATCTGTTTCTCATTTGGCGGTGAGCTTAGGCATCAGGCTATGCCTCAGGCATTGCCCGAAAAAGTGATCTGTCCCTTCTCTTCTGAATATTCCTTTTGCAGCCATTCCCTCCCTGGCTTCGTCAACGAGGCTTCTGACCCTGTAGCTTCCCTATGTCAAGCATGCTATCTACAGGCTGCACAACGGAGACTTGACAAATCACAGTCGCGTCTCTGCAAATTCGTGGACAGAATGCGAAGACCTGAGTGCAATTTCAGACGTCCTTTACTGCGAGGCATGGCAGGAACTATCAAGTAACGAAACAATTGCTGTGCTCAAAATGGACTCAAGGCAGGGTGCTGCCGTCGCGGATTTCGACTTGGCAATCCTGCATGGAAGACAACTCCTCTTGCATGCATTGAGTCTATTTAGGCAAGGGGTGCACGGCTCAAGGCCGCGTGCAAGCTAAAAACGGGACCCCGAGCCCAGCAACTGGAAGACAATGAAGAAACGACTTCCGAATGTTCTCTCAGCTGTTATGTCCTGGGTATCCGTTGTACAGGCTGCCTTCTGCAAGAGAGCTGACCTGCCAAGCTTGATAACAAGCTCAACAACCTAAAATCGCCAGTTCACATCAGTCCTCACCCGATCTCACCCGGACCTAGGCCTAGACTTCAAACTTGTCAAGTTTGTGTTGCTACTCAGGCCTAAGGAGCTGGCCTGATGCTTTCAAGGCCAGGCACACGTGAACAGCCCCCAACGTCAGGGCCAAGCAAAGCAAACGGCGAAATCCCGACCGCACCCACTACAGCTCAGTACAGCTGCGTGTGTTCTCCTTGAAAAAAAGGGGGCACTTCCCCACCTCCAACTTGCAAGTTCCCCGAGATTTGAAAGCTTTTTAAGACGTCTTAAAGTTTAAAAACAGATGATGGCTCAGAATCATGGATGTTTAGCCTTCCGCGGCGGATCAAGCACAAGAAATCATGAACATGTTTGGCTTTCCACCTGATCGGAAGCCGTCGCGCTGGAGGGAGTCTTTCTCACGGATCTCGCCTACAAGTCCGCGCAGTGTGCACGGCCTCTTCTCTGAGCTTTACACAAGCTGCATCAGCTGCAGTCCTGTGTGTTTGGAGAAGATGCCCCCTCCTGCATGATTTTGACCGTTGATCACATTCTACCCACACTCAAATGTGTTCATCAACGTCCTGATCCAAATCATCCTCGATGCAAGCCTTTCAGGACCCCACCGGGGTGTCCGCTGCTCGATGCGAAACATTGATATCTTGCGCTCCGTCTATCACCAGCTACCAGCTGCTGCGGAGTTGCTGCAAGTAATTCACTCATCTTCAGCTCCTGGAGCAGTGCTTCAGCAACCCCTTCAAGGAGCAATCCTGCTACATCCTCAACACCTCAACACTTCAGGAACAGCTGATCCTACATCTGATCTTTGTTTGCGGCTTGTCCTCGAGTTGCTTCTGCTCCAAGGTCGACTTGTAAATCGGAGCGTCAGAGTGATAGCTTTTCGGGTGGGTCACCTGTCTCAACAGAACTAGCACCACGGCAAGGGGGTGCACATCCAGCGTGACAAACAGCAGCATTTACAGGTACAATCCATGTCGGCCCGTAGAACTGCCTCCTGGCCCATGTTTCGAAGAATTTCCTATACTTGTTATCTTGGTTATCTTTATTCCCTGGTTTGACTGTTGACTTGGAGAAGTTGGCGTGGAAACTGCAGACCTGCTTTGGAAAACGGCATCCTACCAAGTCCCTTCTGCAGGATGCATGCGAAAGTCTTGAGGAAAGTGCCACATTATGTCATTATGCTAGACTTTGCTTCAGTACCGCCAGTGCTGCGCACTTCCCCCTGATAAAAACACAGGAGCAAGCGCCCCTGCCTCTTTGGGCAAGTCCCAGGCACAGCCGTGCGTGTCACTGAACTCCTCCGAAGGTGCAAATCTCTCGCTGTTGTTGGATGCTGCTGTCAGATGCACTGCCCGCTTTTTGTGACTTGTGCTGTTTCGCTTTCTCAGGAAACAACTTTGCATGTGATTTGCCGCTACACTGCAGCTACATACACTGCGAAGGCTGTCCAACGCCTTTCACACATTGCTTGCCACCCTTGCATTTGCAAATGCCCGTAGCAACTGGAGACAGCCGGTGGGATCCCACGCAAGTAACTGGCATCGTGCTCAGGTCGAAGATGCTGGTAGGATGGAACACAAGGGTTGGACACGCATCCAACGGGTTGGTGTCACTGCAGCGCTTTTCGTAGACACAGCAGCTGGGATCCACTGTGCCATCTGCCATCCTGCGGACAACTTTACCAAAAAAAAAAAAAGCTTGGATTCTGGGATGGTTCTCCTTGTAGGAACTCTACAGATTCTGGTGGCTTTCTCCATTCTCTTAAGCAACTGGTAGGGCTATGCAGGTCTATAGGAGCTTTTTCATTATTTGCATGGCTGGGATATGGGAGTTTTCTCCATGTAGACGGCTCCCTGCCTGCATTCGCTGGGTATCAGCCCCTGGTCAGCATAATCAAGTGCCATCTTCAGACAGGCCAGCGACTGTGTGGAGCCATGGGATGAGGATATCAGGTCGGCAATAATTGTTATCGCTCGTGTTGGGTCAGAGAAAGCCTGGGTCAAGACCTGCTGCAGGAAAGTTCCGCACTCCTCCATATTGTCAGGATTCTTTCCAAGGAAAACATTCGCCAAACTTGATGCGGATGTGGAACCAGAAATGGAATCAGACCCTCCACCGAATATCTGGAATGGATCTGGAAACTGGGTATCATTCAGGACTCCTGTTGACCTGTGCTGGATCTGTCGACTGGCGTGTTGCAGCAGTGAGTTGGCCCTGGACTTTCCACGTCTTCAAAGACTTCACGCTGTTCAGGCTGGTTGTTGCCAGTGCAAGTCTCACTTTTCCGCGCCACGGCACATAGTCCAAGGAGCTTCCAAAGAAGCACCAATTTCAATACCATGCTGCAAGATCAAGTACGCTTTGAACCAAAATAGGCTACAAGCCACGCATTTCGAAAAGAAAAAACTCAACCGCTACTTGTAGCAGCTATAATAGTAGCTACTGTATGTAAAGGCACGCAAGCTCGCCTCAAGGTCTTGAACGAACTGAAGTGCATAGGCTTTGGAGCTTTGGAATATGTCCTTCCGCCATATGATTCAACATGTTGTGCGAAAACTCAAACTTGCTCACAGGCATCATTGACATTGCTCGCACCTTGTACTCCGTGGTAATCTGCCTAAACTTGGCACTGTCCAAAGCCTCGGTCAATGCAGCCAGGATAACAAATGTCAAATCCTTTGCCACGACCCGTTCTTTTGTTTCTTGGGCACGAGCCTGACGCCCAAACCGGTCTATCAATCTAGATATCAGCTTGGGTGCAGCTGAGTCTGTCCCTGACTCTCTGCCATGCTATCGGGCAATGCTCTGGCACACGTTGTGCAAGAGGCGCCAATTGAGCGCGCATGTCCGCTATCCACCGACCAGCCTTGCAGACTGCCTGCCTAAAGCTGACATGTTCTGCACATGGTTTGCCTTGCTTGAGTCGTCTAGATGCATGCTTAAATGGGCCCTGCATTTGCAGTAATGTGCTATCATGAAGCCTCGAAAAACTTTGAGGACTGAAACGCCAATACCGCCAATACTTTCCGCGGCCTGTTCGGAACTGTCCCCCTTAAGAAGCAGCAGGCAAGCGGCCAACAGCTCGCTGTCCGTGAGCGCGCCCATGGTACCTAAGCAAATGCAGAGCGACGCACGCCGCTGTGACGCTGAGAAACTAGCGCCTCTGTGTGTCCAAGGAAGCCAGAGCGAGTGCTCGCAGAAGTAGCTGTCCTCCACAACTCTACAACTCAACACAAGCTGTGAGCATGTGAGCAGGAGGGTCCCGGGTCCCTCTCAGGCTCGGCCTTGGAAAGAGTTAAGACTCGGTTGAAGAGTGCGCTGGCTGCTACCTTCCGCGATCTCCTCTGATGGGCCTTAGTCCAACATCTACTGTCTGGCACTAACTTGCGAATTCGCTTCTTTTGAAATACATCCACATCCCCCCCCTGCAGCGACCATGCCTCCCATGCAGGTGTATTCTTCGGTCGCTGGTAATATGTACTGCCTGAGCGGAGCTCGCTCTTGCTCCAAATGCATGCTGCTAAAGAACCCGCTGGGGAAGCGTGTCTGGCAAAGCTGATCTGCACACAGATTTCAGACAAGGCGCCACTAGTCAAGAAGCACATCCTCAGCCAAGCAAGGCACAAGAGGTCGGCACAAGATCTTCCTCAACCCCGAGCCCATCCCGGCCATTCTGCATCAGGCCAGTCCACCAGACTGCTGATTTCAACAGAGCCACAGGCTAGAGATGCTACATTGCACAGAGACAGTTTTCTGACATATGCTTATTGCTTCGGGCTAAACATCCCGGAATGCTGTGTTTTTTGTTTTTTTTGCAGATGCTGCAAACGACAACCGGTTGGGATTGCTTTTTTCCAGGAAAGCTCCAAATCGCAACTGGTTGCCCTTTGAAGCCTCTGTAGAAAACTATTAAAGCCTTTCTATCAACTGCGTTCGTCGTTGCAGCAATTCCTTTCAAAATTCTGAGAAGAAATCTGCATCCTAAACTTTGTCGTTCATGAAGGCTGAAATATCTGAAAAGGAAGGCTCCGACATAGACAAGCGACATCTAGAATGACCTATTTGGCACAAATTTCTAAGCCGCTAATTGGGGTGTCAACTTTGGGACAGGGAGGGGATCTTTGAAGTGATCTATACCATCCTCAGCATAGTGCGACAAGTATGTGTGCATGAACCCATAAGTTGTAGTTGTGCTGACAAAGCCTCTCCGGTGAATCATGGGGGAGAGTTGAAAGCTGTGCAGCCTCCATTTTACGGTGTTTTACGGGTTTTGATTAACATTTTGGAGTTCCAGGACAAATTGTGAAGGGGTAGTGATGTGAAGCTTTTCATGTGCAGGCTTTCATGGAAATCGTTTACAATGCACTCTTTGCTTTAGATAGGAGCTCAATGATGGCCAAGAGAAGTCAAGATGTCAAATGCTGATTGCTATCCAAATCATTGCTGCTCCTATGGCCTCTCCTTGTTAGGGTACCACCCTTCTTCTCATGTCACAGGGAACGTTTCCTTGAAATTGAACCCAGTGAGACTCAACGGCATCCTTGCCTGTATGTCACTGATCAGATAAAGGGTTGTCCTGAAGTGGCACCCAGTGAGACGGACCCCCCTGACGATGGCATTTTTTGCGTAGACTTCTCCCTCCCACTTCTCCTGTTTCACCCCAGATTATGCCTATGGCCAATACTTCGTATGTTGCCCGCCCGTCCCTGCAGACCGTGCATCACGTGCAGTACATAGATCTCTCTATATAAAGATGCTAACCTTATGGTTTGATGATACTTACATATGCTCCATCAATCAAGAATAGCTGCGGCCAACACTGCGTGGCAAACGTACGTTGGGGAATCAAATTGTCTGCAGGAAAAAGTACATTGGGGAGTCGAATTGTCTACAGAGGGCCTGCAGTTGACCTGCAGGTGTCCCTTCCATTTTTAACCTTGAACGGTCAGACATCCGGCAACCCCAGCAGACACATGCTGACATCATGTATTGCGCTCACCCCACCCTCTCTCGTTTCATTGATCCTGAATGCCAAAGCCAGGGGTCGTGTGGGACTCACCGTGCAGCTGGAAAAGTACGTCTGATCGGGAGAGGTTCATCTTTTCGACTGCCTGGCACATGCGTGACAACTGCGCCCGATTATGCATGACATTAGTGGGAGCAGCAATGGCTGCAGATCATGGACGCGCATACTCCGGTGCCTTAACCTTCACGAGGGTCATAACATTTGCTCACACTCAACACAAAATAAAGAGCAAAAAACAAAGACAATGGTAGCCAGGCTTTTGCCAATGTGCCTTGAAGCAAATTTGATTGATTGCCTGCAGCTCAGTAAACGGAAACAGCAGCAATCAAGCCGATTCAACGGGTTCGAAGTGCCCATGTGACAGGCTGAGGGGGCTGCGGCATCGTATTTCGCATACTTAACAAAGAACTTGTGAATGACAAGGGCAGGGAGGTAAAGCTCCTGTGTCAGACAAGTGAAAGGCAACTTGGGAAGTTCCAACTGTCACGTTCATAACGTGCTGTGAGCGACCTTCTGCAGCTCAACCCGCAGAGGACCACTCAACATGTTCAAAGAGGCGACCCGGCTCTTGTCGATCTTCTTTCTATTGACCTGTACCAGACAATCTGACGATTCCATGCCCGACTGGCAAGGGCTTTCATCAACTGCGTTGCCGCCAAACAAGTGGCAGTTCACCAAAGCCAACTCAGAAGTATCATAATTAGTTGTCGCGAACCTAAAGTAGGGCGCCTCAATGGCCATGTCGATGTAGCGTACTACTCTGGACCTCGGAGGCTGCTCTCTGCTCTGAGCCTAGGACCTTTACAACGCCCATTATACTTCTTTCATAATTTCATAAAGATATGCGAGGGGTGCTCATGCTGCGCGCTAATTATTCCCCGTGAATCGTGTTAATCTGTTTTCAAAGCTTGAAGAATGGGAGCGCTGCTGGAGATCTGCGGATATGTGGTTTTCTTTGAGGAACCTGGCATGGAGATGATTTGAGGGTTCACCCCCACCAACATTGAAAGCGACTGCGTTCCCCTACAGTACCGTGCGGCTCCAGCCCCATGCTGCCCAAATCTTACTTTCCAGCTCCTCTGCAACTTCCAAACATGCACCAGCGGACCTCCTGAGCAAGAATGCCTCCGACAGCTCATTGCCTTGCAAACTTCGAAGTCTTGTCATAGACGCAGTGATTGCACCTCAGGAAAATTGTCTGCCACCACGTCATTGAAATTTTGTCCCTGTTCTCTCGCGCAGCGCCGAAGACAACTCGCCAAACTACGGTGGGGCTCCTGGGCCAGCCTCCATCGATTAACGAGATGTTGAGGCATCCACTAACGAAGGAGGAGAATCCCACCATTGCAATCAGGATGAGCCCGACCTCGCAGCGCAAGTTGAGCAGGAGGTGGTTCGGAGCGGCTTGCCGCTCTCAGGGAGTTGTCACTGCCAACGCTGAGAGACATGCATTGAAAACTCGTTCAAAGACGTTGCGCGGATGAATCTCTATGCCTGCAGCAAGAGTTCGTTCTGAGAACATGCGTAGTGATCCCACTGGGCAGTCAAGCACAGCCTGCTGGTGTGAATTGCGTCAACGACCAGTGAAGGCTAAGCATGTACTTCTCAAAAACAGTCTCTCCGGTGTCGTAAGCGAACACCCAGTGCTCGTCCGGAGGACCTCCTGCAATTCACTTCCATGCCAAAGCACGGGAACGCTGGCCCCACGGAACTTGCAAAGTCCTTCTCCTAGCACACCGATGAGATACCAAAGGCAGGCAAAGATGTGGTTCACAAAGAGAAGGACCAGCCTTGAGCCAGATCTTCACCCTTAGGCCCTTAAAGCTACAGTCTTTCCTCTGCCAAGGTACAGATTTTTCACGGTGCCCACGAGAATAAACACTGCCTCCGAGTCGATACCTGCAGCAGGATGCAAAATCGGATCCCATGTGCAGCCCGCCAATCCGTTCCCCCGTGTTGCTTCAGTAGGCCCATGCTGTACAGATCACATCCAAGACTGATCACTTTCCGACAGGGCACGCTCTTGAATCGCAAAGAAGATATGCCTGGCGCAACATGGCACTTGCTGCATCCCCGAGTAAGTACCACAATCACACAGCTGCCACCTGGCCACCTGGCCTCAACTTCATGAGTCGCAGAAGCCGCAGAGTCCGAAGAATCCTTGCAACCCGAATGACCTGCCAGGCTTTCAGGCGCTCGGCGGCTCGAATCTCAGCTTTGTACGGGCAAGGCGGGTAGCAAAAGCATGAAGCCCATGACGCAACACCCTGCCACTGCTGTGGCCTTGCCCAAGCGGGCAAGTCCGGATCCTTCAGCGTTGTCAATCATGCCATCCTCCTCTTCTCCTGGTGCTGTCATGGAATTGAGACGAGGCCATTTCTACGTAGGTCTGATCCGCTGCAGCCGCAGCATGTGTCCTAGTGATGCAGACATGAATACCCAATCCACACTGACGATCATCACGTCGAGGAAGAACCAGCGCTTCCTTTGGAAGCACAATAGACGCAAGCATTGACCCATGCAGGCATCATGCAGGTCGTGGCCTAAACCAGGGCCGTCTATGCAGCCTGGATTCAAGTAATGTAAGGCGATCTCCCTGTGGGTGCGGATCAGCTCCCCTTTTCTGGAATAAAATCCAGTGAAGAAGGTGCCAAGTATATCCATGGTCCAGTATATGGCCACTGTCAGATCCAAAACATCCGTCACCAAATGGCGTCTGGGTGAGAAGACTTGCCTCCGCTTTTCCACGTCCGAAAAGGAAGGCAAGAAAAAATCATCACAAAACCAAACCCAAAACCAAGGCCGGGCTGCACTGGAATCCAAATCCTTAGGTTCCAAGCACAGCCACGCGCAGTGCCCTGCCTTAAAGCCCTGCCTGCAAGTTGCTTGTTAGCTGTTAGCTGAGGCTCATGTCGTAGAACAAGAAAACGACACCCAGAATGTCCTGCATGAAAAGCCATAGAGATGGGCTTCATCACTCTGGCTGACACACTGTAGCAGTGCCAGCCCTCAACACAAGGCAGTGGACAGCCAAGGCACCCAGAACATACGCTGCGGCGATATTGGGCTGATGACCAGGTCTGTGACTTTACAGGAACATCGGCCTGCAGCAGGATACTCAGCGACTCAGCAGATGCGCGTTACCTCCGAGACCTACGCGGCACCACAATGCAGAAATGCACAACACTACCGGCTTCCAGGGCCCCAGCAACCATGATCATGGTGCAGAGCTGACGAAGAGTACGATGCATTTAGGTCCTTGACATGAAGCGTTCCGAAAAGCACTCACACATGTCATCCTCATCAGATCCAAGTGGCAGGTTTCAGCTTTAAAGTTCGCTCCGCCAATGCGTACTCCCTTCAAAAAACATGTGTCATGGAAGGCATGACTCAATGAAAGGCAAAGTGAAGCAGGAGCCTGTCAGCAAAGAGGTCGCTGCTGATACCGTTGATGGTCTCTGGGCCGATTGTCCACTCCTTCCATAGAGTGAACTGCTCGACTTCCTGAAATGCAGGTTACTTCTGACATCTCTACTGTCTCTACTGAGGTTCTGCAACTCCTCCATGACTGCTCAGTTGCAAGAGAGTCACTGGCACTACGTCAATCACGGAATCTGCGTCTTCCTCCTTTGTGTGCCACCAAGGTGTGGTCCGCAGCTGCGCATGAACAAACAGCCAAACAATGTGGAAGGAAACAACGCCTCAACACAACACCTGCTGCAGTGCTGTGCTGCAACCGTGATTATTTCTTGCTCCTTGTCCTCCTCGGGCCCATCTTCCCCAGGACTCGTCGCAAGACCGTCCTGGTCCTGCTTGTTGAGAGCGCGCCGCAGCGCCTGCGCCTTCGCATCGTTCGCATCGTGGCATTTTGTTCGTCAAAGGGCTGAGAAGTATGCCACGAGAAGCATAGAAGCAACGGTCAGGATCTGTGCCTCGAAGACCAGCTGGTTGACCTCGGCTCTGCTGCGGACTAGGCATGTCTTCCAGAACGCCTGCTTCCCGCCTGTGTTTCGTGGATTTCCTGCAGCTTCTTTACTGTGGCCGCAAATTCAGCAGTGACAGCTTGGCTGCTGAATGTCCGCGCTCCTGCAGCGAACACTTGGCATGCGCAAACACCCCAGTTCGGTGAACTTCACCTGCTACTGCTTACGTAGCTGGGGCCATCACTAGGTCTTCCAAGCGTGCTGCCCCTGAGTTTGCAGTCATCTTCTCAGAAATCCCCACACAGTGCTAGCTCTTAACGCCAAATAATGCGATCAACAAAACAAGCAACTGTCTGGTCAGCGACGGCGGTCTCAGCGCCATCTTCGTATTATTCAACCTACGAGAAGTGCATCTCATAGAAAGCAACCTTCCGAGAACACTGCCATCACTCAGGAACCGGCGAGCGCCGCGCCAATGCTATGGTAGTCTACGTGTAGCAATTGCAGTTTCAGCGCTATTTACCGAACTTAGATCTAGTCGCTGCTGCTGTGCTGCTGAGCCAACCTCCCACCCCCATTTCTGTTTCTATGACCTCTTGTCCTTGTCCAGTAGGCAGAAACGCATTAACATTTTGACAGAGCCACTGTTGGCGACCAGCAGCGGAGCAGGCAACCCAGAATGCACAGTCCTATGGATGCATGTGGGACAACTGGTGCTGGGTCCGTTAGGTGAGATCCATCCATGTGGCGGGCACTCTCGTTGCACAGAAATGCTTGCAGCAGCGCTTTAAGCCTGAAGCCCTGCTCCTCCTCCAGGGCTGTGATGTCGCAAGCCACATCCTCAAATCTTGAGCAAAAAACCATGGTAAACGTGTTACGAAACACTAGCCCTATCTATAATAATGAATGTTTTTTTGCTCTAGAAGACCCTTGATTAGGGTATTGTACACAAAACTTTGCCTCGGCCCCGGCAAGAGGCGTCTAGAGGTTCCCTCGTCATCCCATTCCTCCCTCCTCCATTGCTTGCCTTTGTTTTGCTGGCCGCTGCTCGATGTCAGGAGTGCGAGTCACCAGCTTCATACTTGGACCATGGCTTTTGCCTAGCCATTCTCCAGACTTTCAATGACACTCCAAAAACCTCCCTTCAACGGTTTGACCCGAACATGCATTTGTGTGACATTCCATATGAAATCCAACCTTGCTTCCCTGGCCAATTGTCATTGATCTGCCTCTCCTACTCCTGCTCACGCCCTCCTCCTGCTCCTCCTCAGCCTCCTCTTACTCTGCCTCCTCTGCCTCCTAAACGATTTCAGCTTACCTGGAGAGCCGCATCACGTGGCCGGGGCTGACACCAGCAAGTGAGTAAAGGAATCAATGACCAAAACACTCCAACGTCACATCACGTGAGCGGACTGTGGGTGAGCCACATCATGTAGCACAAGACGGTCACCAATATGCCAAAATCAGCAACCCAGTAGATCAGTAACCCGGTAGCACAGCCGCTGATGACGCCACTTACTCAGGGTTGCCGACTTTTTCACGTCTTTTTGTGGGTCATACGCTAGGCCAGGCATACGCGATGTGAGGCTAACAAACCAAAGAGCATCGAACTGCGCCAGTGGAGCGCCATCATCACCGGCATCCTCATCATTACTCGGGAACTCTGCAAGCATTTGCATCCACATCCTCGGGATCAACGGGGTGCCAGGCACCGAATAGGCCGCAGCGGCCTCGGTGAGGCCTCGCTGGCAGCGCAAGGCAGGGAGAATATCGTTCCGCCGGTTTTTCTGAACGCAACCATCGGTTTTTCAACCGATGGTGGCCCTGAGGTTCCCGCGCCTCCTCATGTTTGTGTAAAGATGCAAGCGCGCACGAACAACAATCCCTGAGCTGCACCAAAGCAGACAAGTATTGCATAGGGGGCATAGGGCGCAACCCACTGGCAGTTAGAAAGTCACGTTTGGCATCCACGCCGCAAATATTCAGCAGTTCAGCTGCAAAAAGCCGCGCACACGCTCAAGTAAGCGTCCAAAAGGAAACCCCGTGGGGCTGGACTAGCTGCGCCAAAGCAATCCACACGCTGATTCGCGATTCGTCATCCACTTCATCTGACTGCAGTGACAACTGCTGAGAATTTGAGAACCTGTCCACTCCAGACTCTAAGCAAAACGACTGGTGAATCGCCTTCAAGCTCTTGCAGCATTGCACTCTCAGCCTCCATAAACGACCTTCCCAAGTTAAGCAACACTAAAGCAAGACGCTGGCGCTCAAACTGGTATCGCTCTTATCCGCTAGTTGCCCGCACCTTATCGCGGACAGGCAGGCAATCTGCAATTCACTGCTCACACCACCTGGCCCACGACGTCCCTGCGGTTGCGGGGAAAGGCAGCAAAACATTAAGTATAGTAACTATTGGTACCTGGAGCTGGCAGGAAAAAGGCGTATAGTGACAAACCTACTTGATACCTGACATGGTGATGCACCTACTCGTTAGCACGGCTCCATCTGGGTAAGCCCCTGCTTCGTTCACCAAAACCCCCGCTTCGTTAACCAAAACCCCTACTTCACTCACCAAAACTGGTACGCTGACCAAAAACACCTGCTTCCTCAACCAAAACACCTGCCAGCGCCACCGAGACCAGACCCGAGCCTGTCACCCCCACCCTACACCCGAACCTGAGACCATAAACCTCAGACCGAAAACTCTTTCACCTTGTTACATCTTTCCTTGTTCACCTTTTTCTCCTCTCAAGGATGCATGGGACCAGGGTTAAGTGTTACTCTTCTGAGTCGTTCGTCACCTAACCCACCCATCCCAAACCTCAGACCCTAGACCAAGTCTAAAGCTCACCCCAAACCCTTTCACCTTTTTTGAGTCGTTCGTCACCTAACCCACCCATCCTAAACCTGAGACCCTGAACCCCATAAATAAACTCTAAACCTCACCCCAAACCCCGACTGACTACCCGACCTGACCTGACCTGACCTCTCCAGCTTCAATGTAGACCCCAAACCCCAACTCGCTAAATCTAATCGGTGAATCCTGCTTTAAGTGCATATCCTAACTGTCAGGGTTTACTATATATAGACTCCACCTAATTCTAGGCTGTTCATGGGTGAAGGCTCGACGATTTTCCCGAGATAAACCCTGTATGCTTCTGGCCTAGGGTACTTTGACTTTGACCAGCCCCCACAACCCTAAACCCTCAGCGCTAAGTAAGAATTCCACGTCAATTTGGGGCAAGGGTAAACCATTGAACGTCCTAAAGTCCCAAATCCTAAGCTGGCTCCTATACCTCCTAACGAGCCCTGAATCCTAAATCGTAAACCCTAAACCCTAAATCCTGAACCCTACAACTTACCAGTATAAGGGAAAGAACGATCTTTCTTTGGGAGCGAATCCTGCCAGATCCTGGGGATGCGTCTCCTGCCCTATCTTCAGCCACGATCCCTGAAAACCTATAGAATTTAGGGTTTGGGGTCTGTCGATTTGGGGTTTGATGTCTAGAGTTTGGGACATGTCACCCTTCTGGTGGTGGTGGCGGCGGTAATTTTGGTGGCGATGGCGCCGGGGTTGATTTTGGTGAGCCATGCTGTCGTTGTAGTTAGTGAAGCAGGGTTGTAGAAGCGGGGTTGGTGAGTGAAGCGTGGTGGGTGAAGCGTGGTTGTTGTTTCGCGGGTAGTTGTAGTTGCAGGGATTAATCGCTGCATCTGCGTCATCAAGCCACATGAAGCCAATGAGGCGGCATATCAGGACAACAGGCAGAGGCAGAAGAAACAAAGGCAACAACAGATCAGGCCGTTAACCATGGCCACTGCAAATCGATTGGGAATATCTGGAGCGTACAGTTTGGCACGCCTGGCCTGTTCCCAGGCCGCTGCTCATGGGCGTGCCTTTGTGCTGTTGGCCCTTTCTTGGCCTTTAGTGTCTGCTCTCTTCGTGGCACCGCGCCAAACGCCTTCTTCTTGCTGCGGGTGCGCCATTGGCCTCGCTGTTTTCCTGCTTCACTGGGCTGTCGCTTTCGCTTCTCCTGCTCTTCCCCCTCCCCACTTCTTGTGGATGCTTTCTTTTGCCACCACTCGCACGGTTGGTGCTTTTCCCCTGTCACGCAGCAGCCACCATTCGCCCCCATTTCCTCGCCATTCCTGGCCCTCTTTACACTGGCGCTGTCTCTTCCATCTTTGTCGCCTTACTTGCCACCTGTCACGCGTTTTCTTACTTGCCCACTGGTATGGTGATCGCACTTCCCCCGGTTTCGTTCTCTTGTTTGTTTCTGCCACTCTTCTTTGCTTTATTTCAGTCGTTTCCTTGCTTTTGGGTTTGAGCGGCCGCTTCATCCATGCTTCCATCCATCCAGCCATCCACCCTTCCTTTCTTTGTCCAATTCTTGAGAATAGTTCGTAGCACGGGTTTGCCCATCAACTCTAGGCAGACATGACAACTCATGAAGGACTGCATCTGCCTCCTCTCTAAGTTTCTCACTGTGCTTGCGCGAAGCGGCCGACAGCCAGTTACCTGCGCCTTGTTGAGCTCAATGGCCCAATCAACCAAACAACGAAGATACTAAAATGGATATGTCAAAGCCGATTTCTGCAAGGCTGCTTGCATAATGCAGCCAGATGGCAACGGAATTCTGGATGCTGGGAACTGCAAGCTGCAGCGAAGCTCGTGGAATGACACCTCCATAACAAGAAAGCAGAGGAATGTTGCGAGGAGTTGAGGCGAATGACACCCAAAACACAACGCGCATGCCATGCATGTTATGCAACTCTCGTCACCTTTCTGGCCTGTACTCTACAAGCGATGTGAATCGGAGTGTCAAGGCAAATGCGGCAGCATAAGCCAGTGACGTGACGGCTGAGGACTGTTGCCGCAGCAGCACCAGTTACACCAGACTGGGGCATGCCTGTGCTTAAAGATGCCTCGGGACGTGCAAGCACGAACGGCAGTGCCACACCAAAATTTCACGCTGGACGCGCTCCTCCTTTTAAATGGTAGCTTTTGCACCTGCAAAAGACCTTGTAACACAGCCCTACCTCGCCAACAGCATCTTCCGCTCTGGTCTAGCAAGGAGAAAGTGGCGTCACTGTGATTCACATGCAAGAA